GCCACCCGGCGCACCCTGCGCCCCCCTGCTCCACGCTCTTCGTCGCAAACCTTGGGCAATTCGTCTCAGAACATGAGCTGAAGGAAATATTTAGCAGGTATGTCCGACTGACGTTGTAAAGAAATTAGTTCGTCTAAAACTACAACTAGGGATATGTTAAAAATAATACTTGAGGCTACAAACATGACTTTAGTACCGTAAACTGTGTGGCTTTGAAAATTTTAAAGGTAAAATAATATGTAATTTGGAGAAGATAGGATAAAACTTTGTAATTATTAGTCAGTATGAGGGAATTTTAAACATATTTAATAAATGTAATCTAATTAATATGTAGGTATTTTCGTTATGTTTGTTCCTGTCCTTCATTTTTCATTTGAAACTATTTTATTCAAATTAAATAATGAATTTGTGCTATTAAAATATGAAGATATACTGTGTGGCATATTTAATGCTAATATGCATGGTACCAAAATTATTCTAATTTGATACGCAAGGTTGGAGTTTCTTTTTATATTACTGTTATGAATTTTTCTCTTTTTAATTGTATATCATTGATTAGATCAGTTCGTCATTAGGTAAAGTGTAAACCAATTTGTAATCGTGGTTAAAACAGAATATCGAACCTTATGTATCGAAAGATATTTGATTATTATTAATATTTAAATGTGAGTGTATTTTCCACAGTGCATGTCGCACCGAATATCACAATATCGGCTATTGTTGGGTATATATATAAGAAATCAGTATACTGTATCATACACTCTGATCATGCAGTCTGTATGAGACATAGCCTGCACCCGTACCACTATCTAGCATGGCAATACTTCCACTCACACATTACTACCTATAGCACAAAAGTCAATCATTCAATGCACTTACAGTTAAATAATTATGTATTTCTTGTCAATCGTCATAATATGACTTGGAAATAATATATATGTATCTACATTCTACATATATACGAGTTGCTATATTAACTACATTAAGAAATGTAAATTCCTACAACATATTTCTTTTCTTATCCACTCGCAAAAACCAACTGAATATAACTCTTAAAAACCAACAACAAGTATACCGAATTTCCAATGAAACGGAATTTCCGATGGTAAATGGTTTTATTTCGTATGAACACAGTCCAAATTATAATTGACGCTTGACAATTCAACAAACACCAGTATTTTAAGGGCCTTTTTCCTGTCATGTGACTTACGCTCTCGTGAGAATCGGAAGGCCTAGAGCTTCCTTCCCGTTACCGTCACGTCACCTTGTCGTTATACATTCACATAATTTATTTAGGGATGGTCCAAGTGGTTGACGCCTCGCGATAAATGATTTATTGCACTCGCTTATGCCGCGCGCCGCGCAAGCACGGATGGGTGCGCGCTGTCATCGCATCCGTGCCTGCGCGTTTGGGGCCTAATGGCGGCTTTTACCTTAACGACCGTCTGCACGATACGTTTCGGTGCAACGGTGCTGAAGCGCGATGACGTTTCATCCGCACGCGAAAACGCGCATGATAGGAAAAGGGCCCCGAGAGGTACGAGTGCGGGCAACACTGAGTGTGGTGGTAACAGCTGCCCGGGGTTCGCGCGCCTGCGGCTGG